GAAATGGATGAATGGCCGAGGGTAAGTAAAACTTCCAATTGACGTAATCTGGATGTTGGTCCAAGTTTGATTCGACGAAAAGAGGTTTTCGTTCGTTCGATAGAGTGAGTGGGAGCCATGGGTTTGATAACATACTCGATAGGATTCGAGTATCCCAAGTGTGAGTGGGATCATGGAATGAGAATACTGAACGAGGGTCTAGACAGTAGAGTGAGAGAGGAGGAGGGAAGAAGGGCTGGTTTTATCAGTTTGTCGTTATTATTTTTGTTTGTTTTTTATTTCATGATCATTACGGGACATTGATAGTTTTATGACAAGACATTTATGAAATTTATAAGCATGATACGATCCGTTATAGTGGTAAAAGTAAACGAGGACGAGACATAAGACCTGTAGTAGGGCATGTTAGATGGCATGATGTCGATGCAGAGTGTAAAACGTTATGATAGGTGACGGAGAGTAGTAGCAGTAGTAGTACATAGAGAGGGAGAGGCTAGATGTACAGTAGATTGACAAGGTTCGGTTCGACAAGACGTCGCTCAAAAGTGTGATAAGGGATATGTATCCGACCAGTATGGTCGGAGTTTGGAAACCTGTGGGACAAGGGAGAAAGAAAACAGAAAGAAAAAAAAAAAAAAACATACCATCTGATCTCGTTCCATCACATCAAGATTCATCTTGACGTGGTCCGTATCGTTTGAAGGTAAATCGACGGGCACAAAAGGGGGAGTGAGAGGATCCGAAGAAGAGGGTGGTGAAGGTTCCGAAGAGTCGAGATGGGATGACTGTAAAGGAGGAGGACGTCTTTTGGGTTTTGGTCGATGAAGAGTTTGTTTCTCAAAGCCAATAGCCAGAGTATCCCCAATCCTTTTACTCCCTCTTGTACTCTCGGTGACACTTCTATGTTGAGCCAAACTACCACCACCGCCACCAGCAGCAGCAGCAACATCACCACCACCACCACCACCACCAGCAACATCACCACCCCCACCCCCACCACCACCAGCACCTTGCTCCTCCTGACCTCGACCGATCCCTCTTTGATTATCGTTACCAGGTTGATCATTCTGCCTCTTCCTCTTACTCGATCTTGTCCTACAAACAGTAGAATCATTACTGGGCCAAGCCTTGTAATTCCCAAGAATGTCCGAGTCTTCATTCACGAGACCGAGAGCGTAAACGAGGCGTAGCGGGTTCCACAGTGCAGGTCCAGGTGTGACAGGAGCAAAAGGGAAGATGGATGACGAGGCCGTGTCCGTGTCGGTGTCAGCAGGACGAGTGTGAGTGCCTAACGAGATGGGAGGGAGAAAAGGTAAGCTTGGAGAAGCGACTTGATTAGCTTGAAGCTGTTGTGTAAGAGGAAGAGAATGAATAGGGACAGATAACACGACAGGAGAGAACACGATGAGATCCGGTCGAACACGTTGGACGAGTATGAAAGATTGCCAGGAAGAGAGTAAGATCAAACCGGTATAGTTTCTTTCAAATTCGACTAGGATCTGTTGGAATATCAGCCAAAAGAGTAGAAAGAGTAGAAGAGTTCTGCAATGATAACGAGATGATGACGAGGATGAGGGATGAACAAGGATTTCAAACTCACCTGATTACACAAAGTCGCGATATCAATCACCTTGCGCCCAGGGAACCTATCCGCCGGTCGTTCAGCCCTCTCCGTCAACACGGGTCTACCCATCGAATCCACCTCCAAAATGGGTAACCTATCTTCGTCATTGTGAGAGGCGCATCTCTTCAACGTTCCCAACATCTCTAAAACCAAAGGTAAGTTGAAAACATCTTCTCTTTTCACCTCCCAGTGAGGAACGTGACGTTGGGCTAGACGGCGGAATGGATCCATCAAACGTAACATTGCGAGATCCGTGTTTCCAGATCGTTTTGACCACGCTTGGTCACCATCCGTCGTCGTCGTCGCGGTGTTGGTGTTGGCGGTGGTTAGATTAGCGCATTCTCTCCAATGAGCGGATGGGATCCAATCCACATCCGTCCCTGATATCAAACCATGTAAAGATCTGGAAGCTGTTCCGAGCGTACCGGCGAGTAGATTCTGAAGCTGGTTCTCCACTCTGATGTGCTGACGTGTGACAATGTCAGTGGCGGAAACGGCCCAGTTGGATACCCTGAAGGCAAGGTCGTGAGAAAGGTGGGAATCAACGTTTACACGAGAGACGATTCGGTCGAGTTGAGCGAGAGGTTGAGGAGAAAAGGACAACTTTGGGGGGGAAGAACAACCGAGGATGGCATCAACGACGGCTTGAGGATCGACGGGAGTGAAGCAAGGCCTGCTGATGGGGGCACGATCGACAGAAAAGCCATCGACTGGATGAGCAAGAGGGGGCAAGTGGTAGTAAGAAAACATGTTATCGAGTGTCGTCATGGCGGTGGGGTGAGGGGGAGAGGGAGAGGGAGGGCGGGGGGGAGAGGGGAGAGGGAGGAGCTAAGAGAGCTAGGCTTATAACGCCGCATCACCTAGCCCTGTGGCTAGTACATGGATTTCGGAATCAAATACAAGCGACACGGCTCATGTTATCAGAGGCTTGTTGCAACGGGAGAATTTGATGAATATAAGAATATGGTAGGGACATGAAAGAAATAATAGCAATGATCCAAGTTCCAAGTTTGTTTTGCGTAAAAGTCAATCTGTCTCGATAACTATCAAGGATAGCTTTGATCCGTCTTCTCTGCCCGAGACAGGGCAGGGAAGCGACCCCAGAACACCCAGAAGCAGTGCATTTGGCCCGACACTGATGCAGGGAGGCCAAAACAAATCTCTGAGATGATAAAGCAAGGTGAAAGTAGACTTTTGGAAACTGTGCTTTTGATCACTCTGATGGTCTGGGGCAGCTGGTCTTTTGATTTCCGACCTGATGCCACTTGCAAATAGAGTGTAACAGACAAGCTCGAATGGTGTGTAGAGCAACGAGTTCAAACAGGAACAGAGGGAGTAAGGTGGAAAGCAAGGTTTCTTTCAGTGACAAGGTATGTGTCACGACTCTACCAAGTCGTGCCCCAAATCACCTGATTCAGGGATTATCACCTGATTGTCACCTGATCAAGGGATTATCATATGATTCTCATCTGATTTGGGGATTCTCACCTGACTCTCACCTGATTTAGGATTATCAGCTGATTCTCGTATGATTCTCACCTGATTACCACCAATATCAGCTGATTTGCCTACTATCAGGTGATTATCACACGATGATACATGATATCAGGTGATTCTCGTACAAATTGAAAACATTTTTAACAATCATACGTAATGTATTTCTCACCTGATTATCAGGTGACTCCATTATACGAGAATCGTGCTGATTATTGGGTGAGAGGGTGTCCAAAAAGTATATAAAGAGCTCAGAATCTACTTTGTAGTTTTCTTTTTCTCAAGGATCAAGATATTATTTGCCACTCGCAAAAGACCTCATCTTGACATACTACTTACATACGACACATCCCTCACCATCATTACCCCTGTCCACATCATCACATACACCCTTATCGTCATCTCAACCTGCCCGGATCCTTCGCAAGTCACTTAGTCGTCCGACCATATCACAAGTCTACGGACAACATAATAACCGTCATTGTCCAAGCTAACTGAACGGTTGCAGTCCACCTGTCTTTGATCCATCGAGGTCTGTCAAGGACAGGACCGTGACAGTATGATACTATAAAGGTGTCAGAAAGTTGTCCCTGTTTTTTGTTTGGATGTAAACAGTCAGTAGTTAGCTTACATTTGTTGGTTCATACCATGGCTTGTGACTTAGTCAATGTCAATAGCAACTGGTAAGTGTGTTTCACTGAGTCTCAAGAGAAACGTCTGAGTTGACCCCAGTCTGACTTTCCCCGACTGTTTGTTGTGGTTCATTCTGCAAAAAGTTGGAAAAAGTTGGAAAAGCGCAAATTGTAACTTCTGAGAATGACTGTTCAGTTTTCTCACTGACCAGTGAACGAATTTGGCTATCATTGGCACCTGCGGTAGAGGCCGCTGATGCGCAATCTGTCACGGAAGGATGTGTTATTTGGCAAAGTACATCCTGAGGAATTGACAGTTTGATGGTTCTGTGCTTCACAAGCCGTTGCTATTGCGCAATGAGTAAGTTTGGAGAATTGCTCAACTCTTAAGTCCCTAACCCCTACACTAATTGAGTTGATAATGACGCCAATACTAGAGACCACAGCAAGTGTTATGAGGTGTCACTTCCGCGGCAGTAAACACAGTGATCTCAAAGAAATGAAATCTTTTGTAATTAAGGTTCTCCATGTAGAAATTTCCAAAATGTAAAAGTGCCCGCAATGGTGCAATTTAGCTGCCATGCTGGAGCGCGGTGCTATATCCGCTTATGCTCTGCTCTAGTGTCAACCTCCATTAATACTCTTTATGCGTTCTGCTTTCCACATCTGACTGATTGTTCCGTTTCAGATACCGGGGAGGTAGTCCTTGTTCACAGCAGTGTTGCACAAGTCTGTTGCTTCTTGCTTTGCTCAGGATCACATCGATAGCTTTGTACATGAATCTCAGACCAGAAGCATGCGCTGCAACTAGGTCTAACTTCAAATCCACATTTGGACCGATCATTGCTCCGCAAAGTGGATAAAGACAAACTGTGTCCGCAATTTTGGGAGCTGTGCAATAACCCAGAAGGGCGCTCCACTTTGGTCGCCCACATGAATCTTCAGGGGCAAAGAAGCGCTAATTGTAACTTTTAAGTGTCGGAAATTGAGCAATCAGACTGCCACATTCACGCTGGCGCTATTTCCGCATAGCTCCTCGTCTCATATCTAACCTCTGTCAATATTGTACTTTATGCATTCTACTTTCTACATCTCACATTAAGCACTGCTTTCCAGTGTTCCAATCAACCGGACCCTCAATTGCGCTTCACCACCTCAGGTAGAGGTCACAAAAGGGCATCCTGCTGCAAAGAGTTTCTGCAGATCACTTTGGCAACGATGCAGACGTTTGTGGTTCATTCCGCAAAAGTTCAAAAAAAAGGCGCAAAATCGCAAGTTGTAACTTTGGAGGATTGCTTTCGGGTGCTCTTGCCCGCCGCGGAAAGCATTTTGATTTAAACTGTTTACAAAGTGTGACTTTACTCTGCTGGTAACAAACCGATCTCCAATGTATCTTTTGCTGCAGCTAGTGCACATGGGGGCAATCTCGAAAACACCCAGCCCTAGTTACCTGGAGCAAAAATGATCAACAGAGTTTGAAACATGCAAAAAATAATTGCAACAGGTGGTACTAGTAACTTTCCGCAGAACTGTTTACAAAGTGTGACTTCACTGTGCTACTAATGAATGGATCTCAATTTTGCCTTATGATGATGGAGATAGAGTGCATGGGGGCAATCTTGAAAACATTACTACCCAGGTACCTGGACTCAAACTGAGCGACAGGGGTTGAAACAAGCAAAAAACACGTACCACTGGTGGTAATAGTAACTTTGCGCAAAACGGCTCACAAAGCGTGACTTTACTCTATTGGTAGCATTCCAACCTCCAATTTCTCTTTTGATGTAGCTAGGGCACATGAAAGCAAGCTCAAAAACACCAAGACCTTGTTACCTGGAGCAAAAATGAGCAACAGGGGTTGAAACAAGCAAAAGATACGCACAACTGGTGGTAATGGTAACTTTGCGCAAAACGGCTCACAAAGCGTGACTTTACTCGGTTGGTAGCAACCCAATCTCCAATCTGTCTTTGGATGTAGCTAGAGCGCATGGAGGCAAGCTCAAAAACACCAAGACCTTGTCACCTGAATGTCAGATGTAGAAAGTAGAATGCATGAAGAGTACAATATTGACAGAGGTTAGTATGAGACGAGGGAATACGCGGAAATAGCGATAGCGCTCCAATGTGGCAGTTACCGATTGCTCTATTTCCGACACCCCCACTCAAGCGGATCTGCCACATACCCCTAATAACTCCCTCAGTCTATCAAATGTATCTGAAGGCAGAGCCTTTGTCAATAAGTCAGCCATATTCTCTGCTGAGGGAACATGTGACAGAGAGACAGTGTTATCTTCAACTTTCTCCCGAATATAATGATGTCGCAGGTCAATATGTTTTGTCTTGTTATGATGAACTGGATTCTTGGCAAGAGCTATAGTTCCCGCATTATCATTGAGGAGTTTCAAAGGTTCTTGACCAAGTCCAAGTCCCAAATCATCCAGAAGTTGTCTTAACCATACAGCTTGGCGTGTAGCATCTGATGCTGCCATATACTCCGCTTCTGTTGTTGAAAGCGCAACTGTAGGTTGTCTCCTACTTTTCCAAGCAACAACTCCACCATAAACTTTAAAGACATATCCAGTGGTTGATCTTCTAGTGTCCAAATCTCCTCCCCAATCTGCATCTGCATAACCTAAAGCAATGCGATTGCTATTCTCTTTGTTGAAGGTGAGACAAAGATCAGAAGTACCACGGATATAACGAAGTAGGTGTTTGACCGCTTTCCAATGTAAGTCATTCCATTTACTAAGGAATCTAGATAAGAGACTTGCTGGGAAAGCAAGATCAGGTCGAGTTATGGTTGAAGCATAGAGAATAGCCCCCACTGCTTGGGCATATGGGTAGTGTTTTGCTTCTTCATGTTCTTGATCTGTTGCAGGGATTGGACGAAATCCAGAAGGTAGAGGAGTTTTTGCAGGATTGCAATCTTTCAGGTCAAATCTTTCAAGAAGTGATTCAAAGTAATGTTCTTGTGACATAAACAGTTTGTGATTTGTTCTATCACGATGAATGTTGAAACCAAGAAAGTATCCAACTGGACCAGAGTCTGAACACTCAAATTCTGAATTAAGTGCCGCTTTGAAGTTGTCCAACATAGTTCGATTGTTACATGCGATGAGTTGATCATCAACATGTACCGAGAGCATGAGAATATTATCTCCTTCACGCTTTGAATAGAAACAAGGATCCGCTTTTGTTGGAAGTAGTCCTTGGGATTGTAACCACTTGTCAAGTGCTTTGTTGAAACATCTTGGTGATTGTTTCAAACCATAAAGCGACTTGCGCAACCAGAGGACTCTGTTTGCTGGGATGTTGGATCCTTCTGGTGGTTGCATGTAGATTGTTTCTTCTAATTCCCCATTCAGGAACGCCGCTTTGATGTCAACTTGATCACATTCAAGATCAAAGTGGTTGACAATTGCAAGAAATACTCGAATTGAATCTTTGTGCGCAACAGCAGCAAAGAGTTCATTGTAGTCCAATCCTTCCACTTGATTGTAACCTTTTGCCACAAAGCGAGCTTTGTAGGTAGATGGGAGACCAGTTTCTCCGTCTATCTTGCGAGTATACACCCATCTCCCCTTTAAAATGCGCATTTTTGGATCCAAGTCCACAACTTCCCAGACTTTGTACTTTGACATT